TTAGTCCTTGCTGACTCTTCGACCATGACCTTCATTGTTTCTTAGATCACTTTGACACGTGGCGACCTGAGAATATTTTACTAATACCATTTTGACTTAAAGTATTCTAAAGATAGATTTTGACCCATACACTATTTCAAAGGCACATTCAACATTTTCCATTTCCAAATCAGGCTGCAACTATACAAAGTCCTTCCTGTCTACCACAAATAATCTACCAGAAGAATTCTAAAACAAATGATAGGTAGCTAACTAAAACTTACTAGGAGAAACATAATTGACTGCATTAATTTCTAAAGTTATATCATCCATGGAATTTAAAGAACCTAAAGAAGCATGAGTCATGCATATGACTAGAGCAAAATCAAACAAGCAATACGAGTGAAATTTCAGTGAAAAACGAGGCCCGAATTATAAGGAGAGAAAGAAATTCATTGAAAGTGGTGGCTGAGAGAATAGTTCTGGAGTTATCCATGCATTCTTACCTAGTTTTGAGCATGCAAAGAAATGACAAAGATATCGAAAGTCTTTTTGTTAATCTCTTAGGAATGTAATGGAAAGGAATGACTTTGTTTCTCTTCAAACGCCAGTGTTTGATACCTAAGATCATCTCCAACCTTAACACCAAATTTCACATCAAAATGGTGTAACACCAAATTTACTCCAATCATTATCATTTTTTATATTAAAAAAGAATATTTCTTCTCTCTTTTCTATATTATATAATTATCTTCTATTTAAATTTTAGTTTTTATTTCCCTCAAACAAATTCTATCTTTTTTCTTTATTCCATATTCATCATATATAATTCACATTCACCACTTATATAATCATTTATTACAAAATTATTTTAAAGGATAAATCAACTAAAAGTAAAATCATTGATAAAAGATAATTAAATAAATATTACATCATAGTCAAATTTAATTTAAGTACAACATAAATATTTAACTTTCGCCTCTATTCTCCCATAAATGCTCGATATATGCATTACGAAGTGTGAAATGCGCATCTTTATCCTTAATTCAACTTTCTTTTGTTAATCTTGCACCTCTTTTCTTTTTAATTTTCTTTTTTAAATTTTAGTTTTCACTTTTCATTTTTAGCAACATTAGATATCTTACATTTTCATTTTTCATTTTTAAATAATGGTTATATTTCTTTGTATATGATTATAATAATAATAAAATTAACTTATAATTTTATATAAATATAATATATACAAAAAATAATATATCAAAAAATAGGATATAAAATTAAAATTATAAAGATCTTAATATAAAAACTAATTATATACACAATATATGATAAATTAAAAGTCCAAAAAAAATAAAAAAATAAAAATAAAATAATAATAAATCAAATTTGGTGTTGATTGGTGCAACACTATTCATGCACTATAAAGGTGCAAGATTTGGTTTAAAGTCGACTTTTGTTAAATAAAAGAAATTGTGTATTCTATAATAATTGAAATCCATGANCCCTTTAAATTGGAAAGAAAATAAATTAGAACTCAAAAAGCTAACATCAGCAGTAAGATTAAGGTCCGTGTCTTTGTATCCAAGCTCTTTGAGAATCTTCCTCAAGTGTATGAATGGACTGGAAATCTCTGTCAACAATAATGCTGCTATAATTTCTGAATCACACTGCATGTCACAAACAATTCTTAGTTATAAGGAAGATTTAACTAATATATACACTGTCAATCCACATTTTATTTACACTACTAGTGTATTTATTGTGTTGTAACATATAACTTGCCTCATTTTCATAATATTAATTTTACTTTTTACAGATTCTTACCTTTAATTATCCTCTAGATGACCAACAGTGTTAATTTTTTTTTAAGGTAAACTCAAATTAAGAAAACAACAAAAACTCAGTGTATTCTCATAGGTGGAGTATGGGGAGAGCAGCGTGTAGGCAGACTTTACCCCTACCTTGAGAAGGTAGAGAGATTGTTTCCGATAGATCATCGACTCAAGAAAAGATGCAAAAAGAAACAGTAACATCAAGCAATAATATCAGCAAGATAACAAGAAAGCGAAGCGAAAAATTAAGAAAACAAGAACAAATATTGAAATTGAAACCAAAACGAAAGGATGATCTAACTTACCCATTCATAGGCAAGCGAAGCTACAAGACCAACAACAACTCACCAAATGATGAATTAAGTTGTCAATCTTCACTTGCTTATCGAAAAGGCAACATACAAAATCATAAATAAGATAGGCCAATGTCACTGCCATTGCCCTAATCTGTTTAATATTTGTCAGCATCACCATTAAAAATTTAAAATAGAGTTAACTTTGCTATTTTCTTAAGAAAAATGAAAACAAAAAATACCAATATAATATTACCTGCTTGGGAGAAGATCTTGAAGCCAAAGTGGTAGGTGTTGTCTTGATTTTCTTACCATATTTGGTTTTCCTTATTTTTTGAAGGAAAGGGTTTTCCTATTTCTTAGAAGGAAACATGAATCTCCCATATTTGGCTAGTCCTTTTTCTGGTAAGAAAAGGTTTGCACTTCAGGACTCTTCCTTCTTATTCAGTAGCATCCACAATGTAGCCATATGCGGTGGTTTGAGAATCGTGTTTAGAGGAAGAACTTTACGGGACAAGTGTTAGTGTGTCACTTGTGTTTGTCTCTTCGTGAGGTTGCTCTCTCAATATTTTTGTACTCTCTTTTATTACATTGGATTGCTCATCTCTGCCCGTGGACGTAGGTCAATTGGCCGAACCACGTTAAATGTTTGTATCTCTTTTGGTATATTTCTCTTTTGTTATCTGATTTATCGTCGTTCAAGTGTTGCTTTTCTAGCTTTCGCTATTTCACATGACACCTGATTTATTTCGGTCCTAGATGACAGGCTGGAGAACTCCAATCTTGAACAGAAATAGAAGCTAATATTACTGCTAAAATTGCATGAACAGTGGAAACCAAACGGTTGCAGAAGTCAAAAGAACGATTGGGAAATATTTTTCTAGTTAATAAAAATAATGTTGTCCATGATACAACTACCAAATTTATGATAGACTCATCCATCTAGCAGCAAATTCCCAGAACAGCAAAAATGTTTTTTCTTAGAATAAAAATAAATAATATAAGAAACAGATATATGAGATTCCTGTTAAGAAAAAACAAGAAAGTTGGCGAGTAGTATTAGTAACTCAATTCAAGAGTTTCACTAACATTAGCACAAAATCTTAGAGCAGTATACTTAATTGTAGAAAACATGCTTAAACTTTACGCAATTAATCTTGGTAGATTAACCATTTAAAAATATTGAAAAAGGAATTAAGAAACAGTTCTGTAGGTCATATTAATTAGGTACTAATCTCGACGCATATTCTTTAGAATTCATTTCTAGCTCTACAACTCGAAAAGAAAAAAACTTGCATTTGTTAGAATGTGACATTTGAGTACTGGTGAAGTAATGTTATAGTAGATTATGCTCACCAATGATTCCATTAAATTAATAAGTTTGACCTGATTTCAAAATTATAGTTTCAGGAAAATGTCTGTGAGAAATAAGTTGACCTAATTTCAAATTTTATCGTAGTTCCTTAAAGATGATGTGAGAATTAATAATATTTCATATTTCGAATACGGATATCACGTTATTAAAAGGAAATCGTAAATATTTTTTCTGTTTCTCTGAGCTTGATAAAGCTGAGCTCAATCTCCAGATTCAGCAAGTAATTGAGATTGGATCTGAGATGAAAGATGAACTCGAGAGGGAGATATTGGCAGATGAGAGAAAAATGTTTTTCTTTCTTATGTAAAAATGAAAAGAGAGACATATTATATACATGAATAACTTAGCCACTGGGCCCCACATATAACTAATATACTAACATACTGACTAACTACAATTAACGCTAATTACAACCAACTTTAACTGTACAGTAGTTCACAGTTTTAGTTGGGAACTGAACAGCTTCCACCATCGGCCCGGTGCCGCCGTCATGTTGTTTTGCTTACTCTGCTCTCCTATCTGTTTTTGTTTCTTGTTATCTCGTTGCTCTTATCTTTTATTTTCTATTGTACTATTTTGTTTAATTAAGAAATGGCAAATTAATCATATAATATTTTTAAAAATTAATAGTAATAAATAGGTTAACTAAACAAATTATTAGAAATGAAAAAACTTGGTTATATTTTGAAGGGTTGGACCGTGAACTAACGCTTAGCCCATCTTAACCTAACATATTTCAGTCCAAGAAACAGGGTGAAATTCAAAAATAGTCAGATTTACAACTAGTCGTTCAAAAATAGCTCAATTTCAAAAGTAATCGAAATTTAGTCACTTTTCATGTAAAGATAAATCTGAGCAAAAACACTGTTCAAAACCCGAAAAATACGCCAGTGTATTATGTTGGAGTTCCAGCATAAGTATACTTGAACTCCAGCATATTATACTGGAGTTCCAGCAAGTGTACCGGTCCAGCATAATCTAGTAGAATTTAGAGCACTAGTGCTCCAGTCTCCAGTATTATTATACTAGAGCCAGCAAAGAATACTGGTCCAGCATAATATGCTGGAATTCATACACAGGTGCACCGAACTCCAATATATTATGCTGGATCAATCTCTGTTGCAGCAAAATAGTGGCTATTTTTCATTGACTTAGTAAACGCTGACTATTTCTAAATGACCAATCCGAAAATTAGTTATACCGTGCTATTTTTACCAAGAAACATTGACCCGCTCATTCATTGACATAGTTCATATTACTCTGCTCAAATTTAGCTCATTTCCACTTATTTGACATTCCAGCTTTGATGCTTTATCATTAATATTTAATTGCTAACCGTTGTTCGATTCAATTGGCGTGCACCTATACAATTTTATTGGGTAACTACTATTTTGGCTAGGTATTGAGTAACTATACCGACCAAGTCGTAGACAGATCGAAATAAGTCACCTATAGTGTTTTAGCTATTTGAAAACAGACCTTCCATTTTTTTTCTATTCTATCCTTTTATTCATGGCAGTGTAAGGGAAAGGGATGAATCTGTTTCTCCTCAAAAGTTATGAATGTTTGATACAGAAGAATTTGATTTGCTCTATGATACAAATTATCAGCAAAATTACATATTTGAAGGAACAGTTTTTGCTTTAGTTCTCCTAGAGAATTTGTACATGATCATCCTAGCAATTTTATAGAACCAAAAAGCACTAACAAGTTGCAGTCCAAAAGCCATGGCCTGGAAAATCATAGAAAAATTATTTCACCAATTTGTTATTTTAAAATTAGCTTTTGTTTTAAAAGAAATTGTGATTACGCCATAATTATAGAAGCACTTGTAATTACCTTAATGAGGATTGGATTATCAGCAGAAAGAGTCACATAGGTTAGATATGGCCCTCCTACCATCCTAGCACAGCTGAAAATTACTGCAAATAAAACCTACAAATTAAAGCGATTATCATGGCTTAGTGATTACATACATATTGGATGTCATTCCATTGATAATAATTACTCTGTACAATTACAAATTTTAAGCTTTCACATAGTATTTTATATAGGGCAGCCCGGTGCACTAAACTTCTGCTACGCGCGGGGTCTGTAGCAGAGCCGCACTACAAGGATCTATTGTATGCAGCTTTACCCTATATTTCTGCAAAAGATTGTTTCCATGGCTCGAACCCATGACCTCCTGATCACATGACAACAACTTTACCAGTTACACCAAGGTTCCCCTTCTCACGTGGTATTTTATCTAACTAAAAAATTCAACTGCAACTTAATATTTTCTACTGCTATATATCATTTTAAATCCATTATCCAGTTCAACAAAATTTCTTTATAGTGGAAATAAAGTAGATAAATTAGAACTTGAGAAGCTAATATCAACTGCAAGATCTAGATTGGTGTCTTATAAGTTAATAACTTAACTCTGTTTCACTAAACTAATAGTATCAAATAAAATGAAATCAAGGGAAAAAAATATCTTTAAATTGGAAAGAGAATAAATTAGAAGTCGAGAAACTAACATCAGCAGCAAGATTAAGGTCAGTGTCTTTGTATCCAAGCTCTTTGAGAATCTCCCTCAAGTGTAAGAATGGACTGGAAATCTCTGTCAACCACAATGCTGCTACCATTTCTGAACCACACTGCATATTACAAAACTTTTCATAGTTAAAAGTGAGGATTTAAACATTTTGTATTTAGATGTATTTTAATAGGCCAAAAAAAGGATCTTATTACCAAAAAAACAAAAAACAAAAAACAAAAAAAGAAGAGGATTTTACTTGCCCATTCATAGTAAAGCCCAGCTCCAAGTCCAACAGCACTAACCAAATGATGAATTAAGTTATCAATCTTCACTTGCTTGTCAAATAGACAGCATACAAAATCATAAATAAGATAGGCTACACTCACTGCTATTGCCCTCATCTGTTCAGTTTTTTCAAACATCACCATTAGAGCAAGACTTGAAAATATTATCAAGAAAAAAATTCCAATACAAAATACCTGCTTGGTAGTAGATCTTGAAGCCAAAGGACTAATAGGGCCACTCCAATCTTGAACAGAAATAGAAGCTAATGTTACTGCTAAAATTGCATGAACTGTGGAAACCAAACGGTTGCAAAAATCAAAAGAACGATTTGGAAATATTTTTCTTGTTAATAAAAATAATGTCGTCCATGATACAACTCCAAATACTATTAAATTTATGATTGACTCATCCATCCGGCAGAAAATTCTCAGAACCGCAAAAAGGATTTTTAAGAATAAAATGAGATTTCGGATAAGAAAAGAACAAGAAGTCGTCGGCCAGGTAGTATTAATAACTAAATTTAAGAGTTTCATTAAATGTAATTGGGCAGGTAGCTGACGGTTCAGATTCATTGCATTATTTTTCTCAAGTCTAAAACATAGATGGTTAACCTACCTCGGGCCAAGATTTATGTGCTTTTAATTTCTTTCTCGGAAATTTTTGGTAATCTATTAAGGGGGAAGGAGAAGACTTTTGAAATGTGTGGTTAAGCAAGTTCAAGGGGCAAAAGCTTTGTATGACCATGATATTTATATAGCTATCAACTTTTAATAATAAAGTAACAATAACAGGTCTCTAAAATTAGGCCTTTTGTCTCTTGTAATGTTGCTTCGTTGTATTTATACTGTGGGTTGTCGTATATTTGCTCTAATTTCGAATGTCCAATCAGGAAAATGACCAGGAAGGGGGCTTCAATTGGATATGGGCTAGGAAAGTTCCTAGTAAGATCAAATATTTCCTTTGGCTTATTATTAAAAGCCAAAGCCATAGAGTACATTCATGTAGCAGGAGGATGTCAGGAAAAACTGACTTGGTCATTCAGATCAAATGGCACACCCCTAAAAGGGACCACTACAAACTCAACACTGATGGTGAAACCCTTCAAAATGGACTGGTGGGAGGCCTGGGCGGGGTTATCAGGAATAGCAGGGGGGACTAAGTAATGGCTTCATGGAAAAAATAACCTGTACTAACATACTACACTGTGAATTAATAGCATTGATGCAGGGGCTAAAGATGGCGATAACAAATAATGGATTCTGCTCAGGCAATTAATTGTATCAATAGAGATAACCTAATTTTTGACAATTTGATATGTGAATGCAGGTGATCACTCCTGGTAGCACTGGCCCGTCCACCAGTAAACCACGTCTTCAGAGAAGCAAATAGAGTCACGGACAAGCTAGTGAAGGAAGCAGGGAAGTGGACTGAAGTGGATAGAAATTTTTTGGTAGTTACTCCGATGTTTACCAATAAAAGAAAAATAATGGTTTGTAATAACATTAATGTAGCAATAGATTACTCTTTATTTGTAGACGCGAATATCGTACTACATATTGTAACTGACACTAATTAGTTTATGTTATTACATATTATATCCTTTTAACCAAAAAAAATAGAGGATATTTCGTTGTGCTAACATTGCTTGCCAGTTTCCTTAAAAACATTACTATGTAATTAAATGACCAATATTCAATACATGTGTTTGTAGGTAGAACTTTTCTCCTTTTATTATGATTAGTTGATATTCTTATTCATTATATTACTTAACCATGATAAGTTGATATGATCTGGTATAAACATCCGATGGGAATAAATCTTTACCTGACTGAATTGTATTGATCTTCTCCTAATTAACTTTAGTGAAACTAATTCACAAAACTTAAATCATATAATCGTACCTTGATGATTACTCCATTTCTTTTAATTTCATAAATAAATTGCAAAATTCAGCTTGTACTTAGACATGTCAAATTCTGATGCACAAGGATCCAAGTATCGCTCAGTCGCAGGCACCCATCAGACAGCTAGCTTCGCCACATGTGTATTCCATATACACTTCACTTTAATTTTAACGTGCTAATATTAGATTGCTGAATTTATTGTTAGCATGAAATTTATCTACATAACACCAAAATATAACAAAAAGGATAGATCGAATTTTTAGAGTAAAGACAATAGAAGGACTTTTTAGATTACACGTGCTTGTATATTTTCCTGCAAAATCTGACATTTATTCTTTAATCTGGATTAACGCCGTTGTCAAACCATCAAAAATTGATTCTTTTGTATGAATTAACTCCGTGGTTTAACCGTCTCAAAGAAAGGAAGAGAAAAACAAGAGAGGCTGTTCAAAGTTTAATTGAAGTTGTAAAGACCAAGAGGGGCACAGAACTTAAGAAGAAAAATAGGAAGGAATCATGGTGATATTTTTGGAATGTTGGCTAGTAGTTGGTGGACGATGGATAATTGGTCTTTCTTTGCTATTGAGTGTTTAAAAAATTAGTTCCTCTGTTTCAATTTGTTTGGACAGTTTACTTGATATAAAATTTAATAAAGACGAAAACTTATAAAACTTATTATCTTAAATATATAATATTTGCCTGACAACAAAATTTTAAAATTTGCTTTCTTACACTAGTCATAGCATTTGTATGACTATAAAAGTTTTCTGCTAGAAAAATATTACAATATTTCAAACTTTTTGAAATAACCTAATAAAAAAAATAGTATCAATTTTACGTTTTACGTACATAATTCCTCCATATTTCTAATTTTCAATGAGTTGACCTGTAGTAAAGTTGGAAACAGACTTTATAAATTTTTTCAGTCAGCGTGACGATGCAGTTGAACCAATTTTTAGCTGTCAAGAACTAACAGGCCCATAATAGATCAATTTGACACCTACAGGCCCAAAACGGCAATTTCAAAAATTTACGTAAAAATAGCACGGTATAGCCAGTTTTCGGACTGGTCATTCAAAAAGAGCCAGCGTTTACGAAGTCAATAAAAAATAGTCACTATTTTGCTGCAACAGAGACCGGTCCAGCATAATATACTGGAGTTTGGTGCACCTGTGTATGAACTCCAGCATATTATGCTGGACCGGTATATTTTGCTAACTCCAGTATAATATACTGGAGTTCCAGCAAGTATAATTGTCCAATATAATATACTGGAGTTTGGTGCACCTGTGTATGAACTCCAGCATATTATGCTGGACCGGTATATTTTGCTAACTCCAGTATAATATACTGGAGACTGGAGCACCGGTGCTCCAAACTCCAGTATATTATATTGGACAATTATACTTGCTGGAACTCCAGTATATTATACTGGCGTATTTTCCAGGTTTGAACAGTGTTTTCGCTCAGATTTATCTTTATATAAAAAGTGATTAAATTTCGATTACTTTTGAAACTGAACTATTTTTGAACGACCAGTTGTAAATCTGACTATTTTTGAATTTCTCCCCAAATTTACTCAAGACTATATTTGATCAAATAAAAATATATTATAGTACTATTTTATGATTTGGAACGGGAAAAAATAAAACGTAAAAGGTAGTTGTCACAGTTGTTTTGAAATTTTTTGAAGAGCCAGTTACTTGTATTACGAAGAGAACGAAAAAGGGCTTGGTGATAGTTAATTTTGACTAAACTTTATTGGACAAAGTGTCGTAACTAGAAAGGGCCAATAGAAAACCTTCTAATTTTTTCTCGAACTTAATTAAGCAAAATGTTGTTGTCAATAAGGTAATCCAACTTATTCCTCCACTGATTTGATCGTAATTCTGATGTAATCAATGACTCGCTTTGCACTCTTTTCCTCTTAATCAATAATTTGTGTTTATCTAACTTTTCCATGAGTCAATGGTCTATCATAAACAGACTTTTTTAAAGGTACGAGTAAGAACTGCATACACATTATTCTCTCTGAACTCTACTTGTGTGAATACACTGAGTTTGTCGTCGTTGTTATCTGGCCTAATTGGATGGACAAAACTCTATTTTGCTTCAGCATTCAAAGTTCTAATTAGGGATGTACAAAGGAAACCGACAAATCGCACCAACCTGATAATCCGAGTTAAACCGGAAAAAAAAACCCGACTATGGGTTGGTTTGATTTGGTTTGGTGTTGGAAAATAAAACCCGACCATAATTGGTTTCGTTTGGTTTTACTAAAGAAAGTCAAACCGAAACCAAACCAACCCGACATTACATATATAAAAATTTTAGATATATTTAATATATAAATATACTTATTGTGATGTAATTTATAAATATTTCTTAAAAGATTTCATAATTTTATTTTTTGAGGTATTATTTCAAGATTGAACTTAGAACTTTTGAATGTTCCAATAAGTTTTATAATCATTAACATTGGTAAATTAAATAGTGTTAACAAAAGCTCAAACCAAAATCAAATCAATACTAATGCTAACAAAAGATATTTAATTCAATACTACGAACGAGAATGTATTGAATATCTATTTTTTGTTTTGCAATAATTTAGATAAAATGCATAACCTATTTTTATTTTTTCTTTAGCGTTTAGTCATGTATTTAATACTCCCTTATTAGTCTACTTATTTTAGCATGACTTAGTACTCTTAGATTATGTTTATTTTTATTATGGCTTTTTAATTAGCAATATTTATATTACATAATTTTATTGTTGAATATTTTAGGATAATACCATGACATATCTCATATTTTATATTATTTCTTGGAAAATACTTTATATAGTTGTATCTTACTAGGACTAAAGAAATATTTTGTGCATAATTTATATGTTTTTTTCTACGAAGATTTTACCGGAAAAAAATCCGAAAAAAAACCGAGAAAAACCGAGAGTGAAAACCCCGAATTTTATTGGTTTGGTTTGGTCTTTAGATTTAATAATCCGACATAATTGGTTTGGTTTGGTAATTATAAAATTTGAACCAACCCGACCCATGTACACCCCTAGTTCTAATTAACGATCCCATAAAACCTATAATAGGAAATGATCTTAGTCAAGCAAAAAATGTGTAACGCCTCTAACGCATCAATTAGGCTGATTAATTTATAATTTTTGGTTGATTTTGGCTTATATATTTACCAAACACGTAAATAAGCTAAAAAATACTTACAAAAATAATTTGATTTGCATATGAACTTATTCAAACAACTCTAAAATAGGACAAAAGTAATTGCTACTATTCTTCAGAAAGCACAAAACCAAAGATTGAATTAAATAGTAAAATTGGAAATTAAAGTGAAAAAGAGGAGCAGTGTGCCTGGGTTGGCTTGGCAATAATTATGAAGATATTTTGAGGTCATTGCCTAAATCACATTCCATTAGCTACAGCCTGCACAATAGCAAGAAAGGCGTAAAGGGTTTTCAATATTGGTAAATGGCAAGTAAAGTGAGGGTAGTAGAGGGCTGAAATCACGAGTTAAAACAATTCACCATCAAATATAGTGACGGATTCAAAAATACCACCAAAGACGATATTCAAGGTTTAATATATATGCATAAAAAGTAATTTTTAATTTATATTTTTTTTGTACATAATATAATTTTCCGAGGATAATTTATGGTATGTGGCTGGGTCACTGCCCACTTATCACATAGTACCTAAGTACTCATGAAGATTGGACTCTTCTCATTTCCATCACATTGTATCATGTTGAATAACCCCATTTACGTGGCATGACTGAGTTTGTCTTCAATAATAATGATATGAATTATAATAATAGTAAAATTGGAGCATTCGTGTCCAAAGAGATATGATTAGATTGTGAAGAATTTTAGATACTTTTTTACATTTTGGTATTTCAATGTTCATTTCATAAAACTATTGGGACTTGGGAGGAAACTTATATATAATGCCGTTTGAAAAATAAAATTTAAAGAAAGTGGTAATATATAAGGAATTAAGTCGTGAAAATTTAATACAGTATTTCTTTTTTCGCAACTTGCCTTTGCATGAACATATAATATTTGATTAATCTCTACAGCTGTTTGCTTTTGTAAAGTGACTTCATATCAATTTAGAGGCATCAATAATGATTCTGCCTGAGCCCAAGAAAATGACTAAACAAAGTTTTATCAACTGAGTCTTTCTTTATTGCCCGACCACACTCTTCATCATTTGTTTTGCCCAATATATTTAAAAAGATATTTTTATACTAACATTTCTTTTTGTTGTTTCCATGCATCCAATCATTTCCTTAAAATAGTAAGGTTGGTTGCTGCTCCCGTCCTAATGACTAAAGTTTGCTGCTCCCGTCATATATAAGGTTGGTTTCTTTTTATGTACATGTATTGTTCATGCTCCAAAAAGACGAATTCGTGCATTTGACTGAGTGCTAAATTATACTTACTATTTTCTTCTTACTTTTTTTTAATAATATTGTATCCATGTTTCAAAAATTCTAGATCCGCTCTATCTCTAACGTCTGTAGCAAGGTGAAATGGAACTTGTCAATTGATAGTGGTATCAAGAAATCAGTCCATTATAACTGATTACCAATAAAACGTACAACGGGGAAGGGTTTATATAGTGTTACGACTAGAGTAATCTATGTCCTTAAGATATTAAAACCCTATTATGTTGTCGTAGGATTTTGTGGCAGAATTATTCCAAAAACTTATAAAGCCAAACGAAATTCAAATCCAGCAATAACTTGAATTTCTTACGGGAACAACAGTGTGAATATTTTGAGAGAAGAAGAAAAATAAACTGTTAGGCAAATCAGGTAAATTGTGTACGTTTAGGAGGCCAAAAGACAAGTATATATTAGAATAGTTATCTTTAATAGACACAACTCTTCTTATTAGACACGTAAAATGTCATCTTTTAACTCAAAGTAATTTTTAAAAGTGCCTTCACTTCTTTTCAATCTCTTGAAAGTACGAGAGAGGGTGAATTATAGCTTTTTTATATTTCTAGTCGACTACTCTTCAGGTCTAGTCGATTTGTGCGGAGACAGCCTGTACAAAATTGTTAGTTCTTTCAATTTAAGCAAGTGTTAATCACAATAAACAGTAAATGAACAGAATATAATACGAGAGCGATAAAGTAAATGACACCAGGAATTTTATACTGGTTCGGAACCAATGTGGTATCTTAATCCAGTCCTCTTGGGTTGCAAGAGTGTTGTCTTTTAGAGATCTTTGTAAATTGAATTGAGTACAATCTTTGTGATTTTCAGCGATCACCACCAACGCTGACAGGGTTGGTTTTCACTCGCTCACCAACAACGATCCTTTGGTTTTCACTCGCTCACCAAAGAAACGAACAATGACACAACTTCTAGGACACACTGCCTCTCCAATATTTTTCTGTCTCTCTTCTCTCTTTTGGGTACACAGTAAATCTACTAAAGTGAATTACAATGCTTGTCTAGAGTAGAATAAAGAACTTGTAGTTGGATAGACAATTGTATAGAAGGTTGTGTGCTTTCTTCCTTCATAGAGCACGCATATTTATATCCCTTTCAACTTGTTCTGGCAATTGCTTAATCCAAGGGAATTTGATTATTGCTCCTTTATTTGTTTTCATAATATGCTGCTCCAATGATTTCTTGTTTGGTCAATCTTCCCATACCATATATTAGATCTGGGCAGAGATATTGTTGTTTTCCTTTGGATAAGGTAAATTGATGAGTATCCTTCCAATTATGCATTGAATGATTTTTTTTCCTTATCTGACACCTTGATTGAATAGTGTAAGAATCTTGATTACAAGTGTAAGAATCTTGATTACAACTCCTCCCTTAATTTTTTTTATAACTTTGGACATTATGCCTTCCAAGTCTCTAGTGCATAATCACGTTGCTTTGCTTAAAGATTCTTTCACAAAATATTCCTCATTTTCTTCCAATAAGTCATTGTAAAAGTGCTTCCTTTTTATATGGGAAATATTCCTTTCTTGATCTTGGAAAATAATCTCTTTCCACAATATAGATTTTACTACACCATAATATATTTTCTTTCCGTAGAAAATATATTCTTCCTTGGCCTTGTAATTATCTTTCTTCTATAAAATAATAGATCTTCTCCATAATTTTAGCAACTTTCCTTCTATAATTTCCGTAGATTCTTATTTCAATATTGTAGTAAGCCATCCAATATTTGAAACTTGACTTTCAAATATTATTCCTTCTATGATGCTTGGAGATTAACTCTCTAAAAATAATCTTCCTTGATAAATTCTTCACATGATAGTCTCTTTCTCGTATTTGTCTAGATCTTTACCAGCATCTTCTTTTATGAATAAACCTATGCAGAAATAAGATTACTACAAGTAAGTGTTCTTTGATTAATAATTGTGTTGGTTTGTTATCATCAAAATTAATACTTGAAACCTTAAAGTTAACAATCTCCCCCTTTTTTATGATGGCAAACCATTGAGTACAATATAAAAAAAACTAATCAAAGACTTAATTAAAGGCAGTGATGGGATAAGCTAGATAAACTGGTTATTTCCCTGAAATCATCTTCTTGAAATGCATGTAGTATATCTGTAGACATATGATTTTTGACCCTCCCCGAAATTTTATATATTTTAGCGTTTATATATTTATTTTAGGTTTAATATTGCTATTTTGGCTATTTTTAAACTTCTTTGCCTTATGTTATCTTAAAAACTAAAAGAAAACTACAAAAATATTTTCTTTATTTTAGATTATTGATATTTTGTTTAGTTAGTTTTATTTTATTTTATCTTACAAAGGATTAAAAAGAAAAGTTTCAAAAATACTTTTACTTGGTTTAATGTAATATTAAATTATAAGTATTTAGTAAATACCGAGTATTATTTAGATTTCTCTAATATAATTATTTTATTTTTCTTTCTAATATTACTTATTATAGATAACTAGTATTTTTGTGTAGTAATTTTATATTACCATTAATGAAAAAAAAAAAAGAACAAACCAAATAAAGCAAAACAAAAGGAAAAGAAAGCAAGGAGGCAAAGAACGAATGAAGCAAAATCAGAGACAAGAAAGGAAATTTAAGTGATTCCTTCCCTTATTTTTTGTCCTCATACCCACGTGCTTTTTTTATTTATTTAATTTTTGTCAATGACCTATTGCCACATAATCACATTCACATGCACATTAACAGATTTTGGCTTTCATTCTTATGCCCCTCCTATTTTCATGTGCACGGTCCCGGTAATGCAAAGGATTGATCTTTTTCAATTGAGGGGGACCACACGTTTTATTTCTAGAGGATTCTTTTCTTTGCCCCCAAACATAATTCTCACCCCTTGGACTTATATAACACGGACATCTAACACACCCAAAAGGGGGAGCGAGAAACAAAGTGATGAGGAACGGCACAAATAGAGGGAGGAACGGAATAGTAGCAAGATACAGTAGGAGCAAAAATCCCTAACGCCGCATAAGTCCTCTTCCACACCAAGACTCCAACACCCAGAAACACATTTAAACACTCATCTTCTCATAGCCACATAAGTACTAACTTGAGGTCATGTAAAGCAAAAACAAAGCTCCGTCACTTTTATTTTTGTCGGCAACGAGTATCGCTCACTCACCATAACTGCCGAAAAACCATAGTCCATTTCTTAGCGTCTCGGCAAATCGTTATTCGAGGTTCCATCTTGGTTGGTTTCCATTCGAGGTTTGGTTTGAAGTTGGTCAGTGGAGGTTCGAGGTTGCCGACGAGGATCGCGGTCTAGGTCCCGTCACCAGTTTTCCAGTTTTCCAGTTTTGCTTCAAATAACTTTTTGAAACTGCTGTATTATTTGCCTCGTAGTCCTGCCATTCATCTAATTTTCAGAAGAGTTTCGACTCGACATTGAGGTCTAATTCTTACTCTGCTCTTTGAAGGCTTATCATGTGATTTTTGTGAATGTTGGATGAAGATGAATGCACTCTGATTGTTATTTTTTTTCCTTTTTTCGTTTGATTGCTTGTCCGCAATTCTGTTCCTCTATTTAGTCCATTATCCTGACTTGTATCCTTGTTATTAGTTAATTGATTTCAGGGAAATGTGATACGAATGGGGTCTAGGGGGCTAATCTAGTTAACTTGCGTAGGCTATAATTTTATCCTAGCAACGTTTGGGCTGAATTTATTAAGAAAGGTTAAGAGACACAAATTGATGAAAGAATCTCTGCTTCCATAAAGTTAATGGGGTTTTGTTAGCAAGAGTTAAAAGATAATTTTTGGCTTAGGATAATTTGTGTTGCTATTTATTCTCATTTCATCAATTGATTCGCTAGTAGAATGACTAGGCCGCCATCACTTAGGTAGGCAATATTAGGACGTTTTGTTCGTTTTGAGGCGAGATGTCGTTCCCTTAGTTAAATTTATCCGGGAAATGCCCCGAAGAATTTGTATATATTTTATTCCGGGGAATGCCCTGTAGTATTCTGTAATTGGAAGTCGTGACGAACATCGTAGAAGAAGTAGCGTAATTTAGAACTTTAATTTTCCTTCTTGTAATTTTCTTTCATTTAGGTGGGGACGACCTCGAGCTTCTTTGGTATTTGTTTTCCTTTTCTATGATTTTACCTCAATTTGAATGCTTTAAAAACCAACTAGATAGAGTACGTAACCGTGACCTTCACGGGACTTGGGGAGTGCCTAACACCTTCTCCCCGAGTCAAATGAACCCCCTTACCCAAATCTCTGGTACAGACTTAGTTTTTGAGTCTCAAGTATTTTGAAAGGAAAAAATTACTTTTAGAGAAACGGTGACCTGACACACCGAAATCAAATGTCAGGTGGCGACTCTGAGTTATTTCCTTTTGAACACAATTTTGTCACTTTTGAAATTGAAAAACCCTTTCGAGCTTTAAGAAATCTTTTTATTAATTAAGAGGGTTAAGTGAGGTTTGTTTTGAAAAAAAGGTGTGACATCTCTGGCGACTCTGCTGAGGACTTGTGGGTTCGAGCTAGTACTTGATTTTGTTGGCTTTTAGAATATTTGGTTGAGGTTTTTATGTTTTTTCATTAACTTTACTTAATTTTTATTATGTTTTTATATTTTGTTATTTGCTAGTTGTTTATGTGTTTACAGTTTTTGCTTTATGTGTTTACTGCTTTGTAACTGTCATCATATGCATTACTCGGTCAATTCTTTCTGCAACAACTCTCGGAGTACGCGTCACGTACACGAACTCTTCGTTGAGTCACCCTTATTTTAGAAGGGGGGCCGTCAGACGTATGGAGTGGGTGGAAAGCTTGAGCAGCCACCATCGACCATACGCTCCCCCGAATTATCTTGTTAGTGAACCCCTAACTTAGGTCAGCCTTTAGGTCATTTTTAGTTGCATCATGTCATTTAGACCTAGTAGGGCTCGGTCCCAAGTACCGTGTTCCTTTGTAGGACGCCTGTCCAAATTTTGTCAAAATGGGCCCGTGACCCAAAATGACATTTAATCATCCTATGTGCTACATATTGCATCTGTGAGGGTAAAATGGTCATTTGGCGGACCGATGCCTTGGAAATAAGGGTGAAAAATGAAGCAAGTAGGGCCTACTCACATCTTTCTTTCATAGTTTTCCAAAAATCAAAAAAAATTGATTGAAAATGAAAAATCCAAAAAAGATTTTACACTCTCCTATTATTTTTCAAAAATTCAAAAAAAGAAAGAAAAAGAAAATTTAAAAAGATTTTACACTTTTCCATTATTTTCCAAAATATTCAAAAAAAAAAAGAGAAAAAGAAAATCCAAAAAGATTTTACATTTTTCATAATTTTCCAAAAATTCAAAAAAAATGAAAAAGAAATCCAAAAGTTTTTACATTTTTCGTAATTTTTCGAAAAGACAAAAAATATAGTTTTTTTCAAATTAGTTGCATCTTCCCGAACTACGCGAACCCGATTTTCGTCTTCCGGAGCGGGATACGTAGGCAACCCACATAGGGTCCGGTTTTCCTAGTAGGTCCTAGGTTCTTGGCTTCCAGAGTCGTAGCCAAATCTTGCATGTATAGCCATATTTGGCCACATCGGTCGTTTTTGCAAAAATAGGAGTATTTTTCTCAAAGTAGTTTGTTATCTCCTGTCTTAAAGCCCTGAGTATACAATAAAGTGTCCTCTCAATTCTAAGGTTCATTCCTGTCAAATTTGCATGTCTAGCCACTTTTGGCCACATCGGTCAGTCTTGCAAAATAGGGTTATTTTCGCAAAAGTGGTTCAATTACCCATGTCTTATGATCTTGAGTTTCAATTCGGTGTCATATCACTTTAAGTTCCATCCATGTCGTGTTTGCGTCCCTAGCCACATTTGGCCATATCAGCCATTTTTGCAAAAAAAAGGGTCAATTTTCGCAAAGTAATTCTTAAGGCCATGATTGTTGGGATGTTGGAGTTATGTAAGCTTTAAATGGAGTATTTTTCATGCATTAGAGGTCAACTTTGTCAAGTTTGCACTAATAGTCACTTTCAGCCACTTAGGCCAATCTGCAAAATATAGCCTAATTGTGTCTTGCATTTGTCCACTAGGAAATGTTGTTGTGTCATGTAGTGTCCCGAGTCGCTAACCATGTTCTCTTTGTTCAGGTATGGACCCGCTGATTCGATCCAAAGTGCTGATGGTAGTAAAGATTCCCAAGAAATTGATTAAGTGGAGGAAAATGTTTTCATTGTTAGAGCAGCATGAGTCAATGCAGAAATTGGGTACCCTAACTTCTCTTCTTGATATCATACCTCGCCCAGACTTAGTGGAGGCGATGCTGACTTATTAGGATCCGCAAAATTTGATTTTCAGATTTGGAGAGTGTGAGATTACTCCTACCTTGGTGGAAATGTTTGATCTCACTCGTTTAAGCTATATAGGCAAGGACATGATACTTCCCCGAGACCACTCTAGGACAAGATTCCTCAGCGACCTGGGCTTGAAAGATAATAAGCATTTAAAATGTCTCGAGCGGTCCTAGATATCTTTGGATTATTTGTTTGCTAGATTTGGACCACATGATAGTTTTGACGTCTTTTGGGATGAGTTCTGCACAACCAAGGCAAAGTGGAAAAGACGTCGCCTCGAAGCTTTCAGCCTTGCTTTGTTGGGATTATTGGTTTTTCCATTAGATGAAAGGCACATTAGCACCCGTCTATAGTCAGTGGTAATGGCACTATTTTATGAGAAGCAACGCAAAATCGTTACAGTTGTGTCGATGATCTTAGCAGAGTTGTATCGAGCCCTGAGTGAGGTTAGGGGAGGTGTCAGATATTTTGAGGGAAGTAACCTTTTGCTACAACTGTGGATGATGGAGCATTTTCACACTGCTTCTTTACTTTGTCCCAACGATCGTGCCTTGAGGGATCGGGTCATATACATTGAGCGTAGGATCAAATATCCTAAGTTTACATACCCAGTAGGCGTCACGACTTGGATTGAGTTCCTTGGTTTGAGGATAAATGGGAATGTTTTGTGGGCTTACCTTTGGCTTCCTTTGGATGATATCTTGGTAGGGTGCCTCATGCAGCCTTTCCTGATGTTGATAGGACTCAAGTGTGTCAGGCCATACACTCCCGTTAGGGTAATGCGGCAGTTGGGTAGAAGACAAGAGGAGCCTCCAACTTTGAATCTTCGGAGGCACATCATGACTTTTAGCAAAAAGGCGGTTGACAAAATCAAGTATGTGCAATACTGGAAAAATGCAAAGAGGATGAAGAAAAATACATTAGTAGAGGACGTTGGCAGGCCCGAGTGTACTCAGGAGTACTTGATTTGGTTACAGTCCGTCCCACCAGGGGTCAGCACCCCATTGCAAGCACAACTTAGGGGTCGGGCAGTTCAGATAGATGATTTTGAGGAGGCATCGGACCAAGATCCCTGGGATAAGCTTGAGTTGATAAAGTCTCAGTTAGTGGGATTGGCAGCAAACGTGGAGCAGCATGGCCAATATTTGTTTAGGGTCAGACTTCAGAATGCGGGGGCATACGCCAGGGCCTTTATTCCCAGCATCGGTGTTTCTTTACGAGGCATGTTACAGAGTTTGAGCATGATGGACAGCCTAGGACCATCCCAGTCAGAACCGTCGCATTCAGGAGCAGCTTGAGGAGTCATTCCATTTAGGTGTTTTGAGATTGTCTTATATTGTCTTTTACTTTCGCGTCTTGTCTAGGAGTACTGAGTCCTTTAGGTAGTGGTAGAGTCTATCATGGTGTAGTCGAGTCTATCATGTCTTTCATTATCGTACTTCTCTTTGTATTTTAATATCGAAAAGTTTTAAACGAAAAATCCCAAAAAGCTTTTGTTTTTAGTTTATTTTCCATCACTTTTCCAGAACTACGCTTGGTCTGATTCATGAGGGACATGATACGTAGGAAACCTACATCGGGTTCGATCAAATCATTTTTGGTTCAAAAAAAGAGAGAGTGAGAGAAAGAGAGAAGAGATAAAAGAGGAAAAAGTGTTAAGAGATGTTGGAAAAGAAAGAGGAGGAAGGATCGAAATGAGCAAATTGGGATGATGCCATATGACCCTGCGACCCTTAAAGCCATTTTAGAACCGTTAATTGTTGCTGGGTGCATTGCAAATAATGTGATATTATCATATGATAAATGCCCTAACGTTAATATGGTGGTTTTGTATTGTTGTCCTTTGTTATCTTTATTTAATTTCAAGAAGGTGGTTAGTTTGTTGGCATCCTGGCAAGTCCTCCATACAACACCCGATCAAAACGTCAAACAGTCATGGCTATCAAGGAAACAGACACTGGAGTTGTAGACCACCAAGGGAGATTGTTGAGTCGGAATCGGAATTGCAAGAGGAGGTCCGGAGGTTGAACCACCAGATGGCAGAAATGTATCAGGCTTGGATTAAGGGACACCCTCCACCCTCGTTCCCTACCAACTACACAGAAAACCCAGCTTCCATTCCACCACTATCTCAATCCCAGATGCCCAATAATATTGATCTTTCCCCCACAACACGCACCTGGCTTTACCCCTTACCACAACTACCCCAGCACTTCAGCCCAAACTATTCATGCTCCGCCAGCCAAAACAACCTCATACCCTACTCCGACATCTGCTCCTATTTTTGTACCCCCTCCACAAGCTACCCTCCACTGATCCTCTAGTGAGCCCGTATTCCCCACTCCAAATGCCCACTACTATGCACTGGAGCCCACCTTCAAAGTCCCAAATCCTTACTCTTACACTCCCCAATTTGAGCCTCATGTTGAAACTGACAAACCACCCAAGAACGCAGAGCAAGAAGAGATGTTTAGGAAGGTACAGAGTCTGGAGCAATCATTGAGAAATATGCAAGGGTTGGGAAACCAGGTGAATGTGGTCTATAAGGATTTGTGTTTGTTACCCGATGTCCAACTGCCTGCCGGGTTCAAGATGCCCAAGTTTGACTTGTATGACGGCCATGGGGATCCTGTAGCTCATCTAAGGGGTTATTGTAGTAAAATGAGAGGCGTCGGGGGAAAAGACGAATTACTAAAGGCATACTTCAGCCAAAGTCTGAGTGGGGCAGCTTTAGAATGGTACACCTGCTAGGACGCTAGCAGGTGGTACACCTGGGATGATATGGCTCCGGCCTTCACCCGGCACTTTCAGTGCAATATAGACATTGTTCCAGACCGCCTATCCTGACCAAGGTGGAAAAGAATCCCAGTGAAAGGTTTAGAGAATATGGGTTCAGATGGAGGGAGCAAGCTGCACGAGTCAATCGTCCGATGGAAGAGGACGAGATGGTTAAATACTTTTTTCAAGCCCTGGAGCCCACTTACTATGGCCACTTGATCTCAGCTATTGGTAAGTCTTTCAATGATGTGGTGAAGATGGAAGAAATGGTGGAAGAGGGGCTCAAATTGAGTAAGATCATGAGCTATTCTACTGTAAAAACAACCACCCAGGCAATCCAGAGTGATACCGGAAGTTTTCTAAGCAAGAAGAAGAAGGAAGATGTCGATATGGTTGTCTCCGGATCATGGCATGGCCAGAGGGATTCACCTCATCAGTACACCCATCCTCGACCCCGACCTCAAACCTACGCCCAAGCTCCATATAATCCACCTCAACATTACTTTTCCCCGTAAAACTCCCAATACTCAGCCAGGTCATCCCAATACCTTGTTCACCATGCACAGGCATATGCTCAACCCACAATGGCGTGCCTCAGTCCCATAGAATACCCACCCAGCTCCACAAAATGCCTATCCACCTCCACAACCATACCAAAACCCCAATGGTTCAAATTTTCGATCAAGGCCAGAGTATAGAAGAGAGAGGCAGCAGCAAAAACAAACTTTTACCCTGCTTGGAGAGTCCTATGTTAGTCTGTTTCAAAGGTTAAGGCAGTTGCACGTCTTGAGGCCGATTGAGTCGAAGATACCAAATCCTCCTCCAAAGAACCTCGATTATTCCCTGAGGTGCGCCTATTGTTCTTATGCTCCAGGGCATGACATAGAGAAGTGCTGGCATTTGAAAAGGGCAATCCAGGAGCTCATTGATACAAACCAAATTGTAGTCCAAATCCCAAACGCGCCAAACATTAACCAAAACCCTTTGTCAGCCCATGAAGAGACACATATGATTGAAATAGTTCACAAGGATGGGGAGCCCAAGAAGTCTTCTAAGTCCATCATGATGATTCGGACCAATGAAAGTAATTTGGTTAAAGCTCCAGACTCTACCAAAGCAAAGCCCTTAAAAGTTGAAGGGGCGACAGAAAAGCCGAGCTCGCTCAATTTGAAGCAACCAGTGTTGGTCGTGAAAGGGCCTTCAAAAGATATTGGGGCAAGTCCGGAAAGTTCAAAAGTGGTAGTACCAGGGATTCCAAGTAAGCCTGTCCTAGTTGTGAAGGGGGCTCCTATCACCCCTATCATCATTAAACCAGTAACCCAGCTGGCAGTGATCGATGCCAAGGCTGTTTCGTGGAACTACAAACAAGTGATAGTGACATACAAAGGAAAAGAAGTAGAGACAGAGGTTAATGAAACTGGAGGATTGACTCGTTCTGGGAGATATTTCACTCCAGAAGAATTAAGGAAGGCCAAACCATTCAAAGATAGCCAAATGCTAGTAAAGAAATCGGTCGCCGATGTAGACATGTAATTTTTGACCCTCCCCGAAATTTTACACATCTTAGTGCTTATATATTTGTTTTTGGTCTAATTTGCTACTTCTGCTAGTTCTGACTTCTTTTTGCTTTATTTTATCTTTAAAAAAAACTACAAAAATACTCTTGCTTTATTCTAGCTAGTTCATATTTTGTCTAATTAGTTTTACTCTTGAAAAATACAAAAAAATAGCATTGTCACTTTTATTTATAGAAGGTAAGAAGAAATTTAAATATGTATTGAGTAGTATTATAATTTCTTTGATTTGGTTATTTGTTCTGTTTTTAGTTATTTCCTTTTATCTAGATAATTAGTATTTTTGGTTTAACTTTAGAAAAAAAGAAGAAGGAAAAATTAACAAAAAAAGAAGAAGAGAAAAAAGGGAAAACAAAACAAACAAACGAAGAAGGAAGAACGTGATAATGAAAGCAAAGGCAAAAGTTGGAAAGCAAAATCCAAACCTTTTCCCCTTTTTTCCACCTTGTCACCTACGCTTTCCTCTTAATAAATTTGTGATTATTTCTTTACCAATAGAGTATTGCTACCTCACCTTCCTATAACAAACTTTATCAACAAAGATTCCTCACAATGCTCACACTCCCTGCCTACACTACATCACACACCCTTTCTTGGAAATATCCACACACTTTGATGCAAAAAATATAAATACACACACTCAGATAGAGAATAGAGGGGGACAGAAGAGAACGAGGAGGGGTAACAAAAAAAGAAAACGCATAGGACAAAAGAAACAGGGGCGAGAGAATTGGAGGAGGGCCTTCTTCACGTTTTCCTCTGAAAATGCTCCTCCATTTCTCGGCGTTAGAAAACCTTCAAATACTATGAAGGTTGCTGGTGATTTTCTCAAAAACAACTGACCTCCAATTCTATGAAAAATAATTGACCCCTAATTCAAAAAAACAGTCAAAGCTCCTCCACCTTTCCTCCATTGAAACCAATCTCATTCTTCCACCAGAACACAAAAATCCATCCCTTACAACACCAACAAAATAGTCCGAAATGATCGAAAACAACAGCTCAAATCGATGTCGTCTTCGTCAAGAAAAGTCCCATAATCACTATAAAATACAGTTAAAACCAGCCCCCTTTTGGCCCATATAACCAGTCCAATACAACCCCAAAATAGCTTCGAAACAGCCGTTAGTCACTCCAAAGTCGAGGTTCTGTCGCCGGTTCGAAGTTCTGATCAGTAGCTCGTTTGATCGTCATTTTGTTCCTTTTGGTGCACGCTCTTTTGTATACATAGCAAATTCAGCAATAAAGATTTTGACATTTCAATTGAGTTTTTCACACTTTCACTTGGCTTTTGCTTTTTCCGTCTTCATCGGCTTGCTCTAACCTCAAATATTATCAAGAATATGTTCACCATGTGTCATGGCGGAGATGAAAAATAACAAAAGAAGCTGGAAATAAAGAAAATGAACGGTAAATATCACTTCTGAAAGGTTAATTTCACCACTTTTCTTCAGGTAAGAAACTCTCCCTTCCTTGAAGTAATTACGCGTATTCTTTTCTCTTTCTTTATTTGTGTGTGCATGCTGTGTGTTTATTTGAAATAGGTACAGCTGGTTTTCTTTCTCGAATTCTTTTTAATATATTAAAGAGCAGATGCTTAAGTGTCAGTTATAGCTACCAGATTATTCTTGCGGTCGCGTCACTTTTCTAGCATTAAAAAGGTTTGATTCTCTGTAATTAGTTGCTTTTAGGTGCATAATAATAAAATAATTATCGTGATTATGGGTACGGCTACCGTGGCATGGTCAAGATACACGATCTAAAATCCATGGGTGCATTTCATGTGATCTGATTCTAACTTCCAACAAGGTTAAATAAAGCGTGTCATGAACCGCGGGTGCATTTCATGTAGCGTGGCTTACAATGTGTTTTAAATTACCTTGAAATTTCCTAAAATATTAAAAGTGGCTAAAAAGTGAAAAGGGCACGTAGGTTTAAAATGCATAATTAAATCAGATAATTGAGCCAATAATAACAGTTGAGAGACCGTGCTAGAACCACGGAACCCAGGATTGCCTGACACCTTCTCCCGGGTTAACAGAATTCCTTACCCGGATTTCTGTGTTCGCGGACTGTAAAACAGAGTCAATCTTTTCCTCGAGTCGTGATTTGAACCGGTGACTTGGGACGCCATAAATTTCCCAAGTGGCGACTCTGAATTTAAAATAGATAATTTCGTTTCGATTGTCACT